TGTTCTGCAACCGGCAGCGCCGCGTGGCCAGGACCAGCGCCGGGCTCAGCACAGGCAGAAAGCAGGGGACAACAGGCTCGAGGCCTCTTAAAATAATCATCGATCTGAGCATCCTAAAGCCTCCCCGCCACAAAAACCTGCAGGACTGCAGCAGCGCTGCGCAAAGCATTAGAGAGAAATTGCAAAGTTTAAACAACAGAACCCAAACCGTGGACAAAGATTCGGTTTGCACATCTTTTTTGCCACATAGACGGGATCCCAGCCTGGCCCAGGGGCACTTACCACAAGCCAAGAGCACGGCAAAGAGGAGATTCTTCATCCTTGGGCTGGTCCTGAGGGAGGAAGCCACAACGGCCGGTGATGAGGAGCAACTCAGGGGGTAGGAGAGATGCTGACCCCCCGACACCCGTGCCAGGGGCACCCAGGCAGTCCTGGTGGTGTCACCGCTAAGGTATTGCTGTACTTGGGCGCACGCACCTGACTCCTGACGGGGCTTTTTGGCTCGGGGTTTGGGCCACGGTGCTCGTCAGGGATGCGCACGGGGACAGGGTGTTTGTCCTGCCGGGGGCTGATGGAGAAGGTCCCTGCCTGCAGCTCCCACCGCCACTCCCCGAGCCGCCTGATGAAATTGCAGGGCAATAAAATCTCCCCCTCTCCTCACCCCGCCCGGACCTCGCAGCTCCAAGGCCGCCGCTTTAGCGGCTTCGCTTTATACGGACGGCAAGGTCCACCCCCTTCTCTGTCTGCGCTGGTGGCGCCGCTTGTTGCGGAGCAGGTCCCACCGAGAGGCCGCTCCGTGCCGGAGAAGGTTCCCATCCTTCCCTCCTTCCCTCTCACACAAAGCACGAGTGCCCCTGCAGCAGGGGAATCCCTCCATCACCTCACTCCTGCGTGTTGCCAGGGCACGGAGCCGGCTCCGTCTCAGGCTGACACAGCTTCTGGGCGAGGCCAGCCAAGGCCTCAGTCATGGTTTTAAAATCTTCCAGGATTTGGTGGCTGGAGAGGCAGGAGAGAAGCGATTTGTGCCCAGGAGGAGCAGAGCTGGCACCACAGAGGGGTTCCAGCTGCAGAAGCAGCACTTGGACCTTGGCGTCGTCTCAAGTGGGTGCTTGGTTTTGCCAGTTCATGGCCTCCAGCTTTAGAGGTGGCTTCTCTTGGGTCTTAGAGATGCTTCCTCTTGGGTCTCAGAGATGCTTTCTCTTGGGTCTTAGAGACGTTTTCTCTTGGGTCTTAGAGACGTTTTCTCTTGGGTCTTAGAGGTGCTTTCTCTTGGGTCTCAGAGACGCTTTCTCTTGGGTCTCAGAGACACTTTCTCTTGGGTCTTAGAGACGTTTTCTCTTGGGTCTTAGAGGTGCTTTCTCTTGGGTCTCAGAGACGCTTTCTCTTGGGTCTCAGAGACACTTTCTCTTGGGTCTCAGAGATGCTTTCTCTTGGGTCTCAGAGACACTTTCTCTTGGGTCTTTCCCTTGCAGTTGCCCTCCCCAAATTCCACGCCTGCCTCCACGCTGAGGGCAAAGGGAGGCGCAGGGGAGGAGAGCGAATGCCGCAGCCTCATTTCATGGGTCTGTAGTTTCCCCGTCCTGCCCTCAGGGAGACTCTGGGAGTGGATGAGCAAGGGGTCTGCAAAATTAAATCATCAGCGGGGAAGGCTGGAAAGCCGCCATGGAAACCTGACTTGGAATGCTTTGTGAATAGGGTTTATTTAATCATGTAACTGAGACACGATATGAAGATACAAGGGAGGCAGAAAGCCGGCGGAGATAAGAAACAAAAGCTGCTATCTTCCCTGCAAAACCGAGACCAAACACACACGCAAACGCGTGATATCAGGGATTAACCACGCTTCTAGGGAAGGGAATTTGGCTGGAGGCAGGGCATTACAGGAAAATGGCTCAGGGGGCTGCATTCAAGAAGAAAACCTCGTGTTAAATTTCTTGAGAGCCGACAAAGCTGCTGGCTAGGAGGGATGTCCCCTCCTGGCTGTCCCCTGAGGCTGGAAGATATGGCCACCATTTGGGTTTTTCTTCCCTCTAACCTTTTATTTCTTGCTGCCACATGGAATCAAAGCCATCCAAGCCTGATAAGGAAAGGACAGGGAGCAGCAGCTCGCCTGCCTCCCCGCTCTAGTGTGAGAAACCACCTCGAAATGGCCCGATAGAAACCAATGGGCACCCCAGACCCCTGCTTTCCCCTCCCTGGCTTTCAAAACCTTGATGATTAAACGTTCCCTTCACACCTCATCCACAAAACATTTCCGCTACAGCAGATTTTTCCCCATCGTGGTGGTTGTTACCCACACTGCTCGTGCTCCTGTGCTTTGGCATCGCCCTTTGGGGCAGTTTGCTGCTGTGAATGGGGAAAGCCGCTCCCAATCTCCTGGGATTTTGCTGTGGGGTTTGGCTAAACCTGGGTGAAAGGCGCCAGTCGAGGGCCTAAAGAGAGCCCAGAAGGCTGAGGTCACACAGATTGAGGATCTGCGGGTGGCTTTAACCAAATCCACTTATGCCCTCCTTCTCCGAGGAGGATCTCAGGAGAGCGAGGACGCCAAACTGGACCCAAGTCCATGGAGCCACAGACCCAAGGGCTTCAAAACCCGCTGCGGAAATAATGATCCCGTGGGGAAAACGACATTTTTCAGCCTTCCTACGGAGCTAACGAAGACGGTTTGTCGGTTTGTGCAGGGCCTTATCGAAACCAGAATCCGCCCTGCGCTTTGATCTGCAGAGCGCGTGTCCTCGGCGCGGTATCGCCGAACGCCCCGCGGGTGGGACGAGCCGATGGGCAGTGATTTTTCGCCTTTTTTAGCGCACGGGGTGCACCTCAATCTTCCCCCACCCATGCGGGGTCGATAAGTTATCTGGAGTTATTTATTGCTCGCTTCTTGCTGCCTTCGGTGGGCATTTGGGGGTGGCAGAAGCATCTGGTTAACTAGCGCAGGTTTAAAAAAGGGATTAACGGGGAGGGATGGAAATGTCAGCACTGTCGATGTTTATAGCCCAGGGAGGGGAGGACTCCCCCTCCCCGTCAGCGCACACCCACGGGCTGTCCCGGCACAAAGCAAGCTCGGAACCTGCCCCGGAGGAGTTGTTGTGGGTCCGTGGATGATGTTGTGTCTTGTTTCTGGGTTATTTTTTCAGGTGGTCTCAGCTGTTTGCCCACATTTATTCAGTGATGGGTGAGGCTGTGTGTGAAACCCACCGGGGCGAAAACTTGCTCCTGTCGGTCGCGTTCTGCTGCCTTGGCTCAGGAGAAGGTGCAGCACGGCGGTTTTAAACCTTCAGGGCTAAAAAATAAAATAAAATCCAGTACTGAAGCGGGGGTGACGGTTTTGCTCTGGGCGGGCCGAGGGAA